CATTGAGTTTATTATAATAGTTTGGTTAATCAGTTATATAATACAACAATATTAACAGAATTAAAAATTGTGAGTTCATCGGATCTGACTTTACTGTTTTCATGTAATCATCGGACTAAGTATATAAACTTAGCGAATCATTTAAAGTTCGTGCGTTCGGGTGTGATTAGTGTAATACAACGCAAAATACCAACTACACCTGAACACGTGAACTTTAGAAGATATGATTCGCTAACTTTAAATGCTTATAGTTAAAAAATTATTATGGCCTCAATATTTTGGTATTAAGATTCTTGTCTTAAAATGATTTCAGGAATCTACTCTTAAGCGTTGTTACGGTCTTTACAGGACAAACTCAGTGACAAATAATTGATGATGAGTAAGGATAAATTAAGATCTGTGGATCCTATTAATTGTGTGGTCATAATAAAGACTATAAATTTAGTCATAATAATGATTAAAAGCTATCGAGAATGCGTTCGAGGAGACGCTATTAGCGCGATTTGCGTCATTCTATCTTCATAGTTGTACAAATAGCGTTAACAGTATCTCCCCAAACACACCAAGAAACAACGTATACGCAATGACAATCCCTAACACCCGATAACAATAATCAGCTATTAATATATTAATATTTTAATTAGATTATCAACTTTTATGAAAAGACTTATAGTATGATTTTCCTTTTATATAAATAAATGCGTGATTATATGTTAAATGACTTTAATTGCGAAGTATTATGTATATTTAAACTTGAAAAATATATGTGCATATATAAGTCTTATAAAAGTAACGATTATTTTTAAGTAGTTTTCATTCTTTGCTACTTTTAAATATTTTTTTGAAATATGATTGAAGAAAAAGAATTGTAGAAATTTGTAATATTTTTATAAATCAACTGTAATTAATATGTAGACTTATAAATGGTCTTGTAACATGTAATCTTAAAGAAGGTAAAAGAACTATAAATGCTATTATAGTCCTTTTCCTAATTCCTAAAAATTAGATACTTACTTTTATGATATTATTACACTTATGACTTCAATATTTTTTTCTTTCTTTCACCACTATATGAAACATAAATATTTGAAAAGAATATCAAGTTATTTTTTAGACTTATTCTTCTCTAAAGAAAAAAAATATTCATACAAATATTTAGATTTATAAGCCTTTACTCTGCAGTCTCAAACGTTTTATAGAAAACGTATGTAAATATATCATAATCAAACGTTTTTTGCCATTTCAAAAACTTTCAACTACCATGTAATAATTTGTTAAAATATATGAAATATATCTGTCACGATCTTGAAAAGAGGTTCTTTCAACATATTTATATATTCTCATTGCTTCAACGAAATTATTAAGCCCTGAGAACATTCGACAGCAGGAACCTAAAATTTTTCTGAATAATACCTGAATATACATTTGCATTTTCAAAATGTATTTGTAAGATAAGAAAATTTTTATAGGCAATGATAATTTGAAATTTTCATTCATTGGAATTTTTAAACATACAAGAGACGGCAAACATCTATTTCTTTGAATCGTTCCCTTGGATGATCCATATCACTTATCCATAAGTTTTGAGATATGAAATAACAATAGTATGTTGCATTGGCGCATTTCAATGCACAGGAATGACTTTGGGAGAATACCACCAAGGGCTAGTCACAATTTATGTTCGCTGAATATTTACATCACACGAATTAATATCTCTAGTCAGCCTTGCGTGGCTTACGCTTGCGAATATTAGGACTACTGGTATCAGCTTTACTGTCTTTATCTTTCTCACTCGCTTCTACTTCCTTCATCTCAGATTCTTTTGTTTCAGATTCCTTTGTTTCAGGCTCCTCTGTTTCAGAATCTTCTTCATCTATTAAATCATCCCCAATGTTTTCTGCAATTTCATCCTCATCTGAATTTTTCTCCTGAATAGCACTGTCTGTTGCACCAGTCTGTTTCTTCTTGCCTTGTTGCTGTGCCGGCTTTTGTGGGAAAAAGAAGTCGATCAAGCATACAACAAGCTACAATCACAAATATAGTTAACATCACCTGTTTGTCAGATATATAAATTTTATATATCATATAAAATAAAATATATCACTCCTACCAGTCCTAATATTGTGCCTAAAACAACTGTTGCAGCAGCAAAAATCAAGTAACTACCCCACACAGGTAGTCCAACATCTTCCAAAAGTTGATTATGGATATTCTGAGTGAAAACAGTAATGTTCCATTGAAATTTTTACAACAGACATAATATCATTTTATATATCTATATGTGTGTATATGAGTATGTGAGAGAGAGAGAGAGAGAGAGAGAGAGAGTGTGTGTGTGTGTGTGTGTGTGTGTGTGTTTACATATGCACGCGTTTGTAACTTACACGTAACATTTGGGATAATTTAAAAAATTGACTTAAAAATGACATATGGAATGAAGTTGGATTTTTCCAACTAGATATTGGATCTACTTTCATCCATGTCTTTTCAGATACAAATTCGATCAACGATGATATATCTCGTGGCCTCTTATACTGCCTAAATATCCCATTGTTTACACTAGGAAATAAAAAATTAATTCTAAGATACATAGTTATAAAATTTAAAACAAATTAATTTGCAAAATATTAAAAAATAATTATGTTAATATATATATAATATTAACATAATTTTGTTATATATGTATATATATAGCAAAATAAATTATTAGTATAATTATATACTTACTGATATATGGTAGGCAAAGCTGTAACCAAAAATCTACCACTAAGACCTGGAGAATCTGTCACGTCTATCTTTCCAACATTGATGTTTAAATCTTTTTTGGATGATGCAAGATCCTCCCAGACTGGTTCAAGTGCTTTACAAGCTGGACACCATGGTGCATAACTAATAAATAATACAATATATTAAATTCTAAACATTATTGTACACATTATTTTTCAGATTTTAATACATATATATATATATATAATAATTATAAAAGTTAGTTTAAATGTGTAAGCTTTCAGACAATGCTCAACTACACAATATACACATATATTGAAAAGAGTAACTAACTGATTTGTATTCTACATATTCTTCACAAAAATACTTCTATTATCTATTGAATTTGTTCAATTATATCCCTTTAGAGCTGACAGTGAGTCTATTAGACTCATGCAGTGATTGTTTAGATAACAAAGATTTTGAGTAAAAATAATTCAACTTTTTCTGTAAAGTATATTAAAATATAAAATACATTACATTTGAATTTACTGTTGGCTATTAATTTTTGTCTCGATTATTGTAGCAATTGCTATTTTACACAAAAATGTCAAACAATTTAATTTTTTTTATGCTACATTTGCAAATTACGAATATTTTTGTTAAAATAAATTTAATATTTATTCTTTTCTCTTATACAAGTTATGTCATTTTGAATCCTTGAAATTATTTAATGTCTTTTAATCAATATGTATTTAAGTCTCACAGAACCAGTATCACAGTAAGTGTTAGATTTTGACGCCAACTCCAGAGAGTTAATGACAATTGTCAAGGACAAACAAATTCGGGCACTTTTTGACACGGCATCAGCCACAACGATGTCGACGTACACGGTCGCACTTACAACTCGATCATCCACTCTCCCGTGAGCATAAGATTCCAGTTATCCTCATTCAGTTGTTCCACCAGGCTGCCCTTCGTTCGCCGCGTATTCGTGTCTGTGCTCGCGCTCGCGTACGTGGACAACAATGCGACATAGATGACACAAAATACGGGACCCATTCTGGCGACGTCTCACCGTCGACTTTAACCAACACTCACCCGTCGTCACCGGCACCGTACCACACTCAACAACTCAACAACCCTCAACTCAACCACACTTGATCACACTACCGTACACG